AGGGAGTACTTGAGTAGAGGCCCAATGTCCATCTCCTACCTTAATACTAAACCTATAAATATATGCACATAGATCTATTTCCCCATCATCATATATATATTTACATATATATACATGCCTATATTTAGACCTCTATAAATGTCCTTTGGATTGGGTACAAATATGGATCTCTTCCAGTTATTTGGCCAAGTAGCTGCCTTCTAATTTTCCTGGCATAGACAAGTACTTCCAGTGCTCCATCGGCTTGATGAAACATTTCAGTTGGTATCCCATCAGTTCCTGGAGCCTTGTTTTTGACTAATGCTTTTAGTGCAGCTTGAACAACTTCCTTCAGCACCACTGGTTCTTGCTCATATGCTACCTCCTGAAATGGTACAATGTGGACTCGTTCTTTTTGGTACAGTGACTCTGTGTATTCTTTCCATCTTCTTGTGATGCTTTCTGCATCGTCAATATCTGGCCCGTAGATTGCAACTTGAGGCTTAGAATTTTTTGAGCTCTTTCAGTTGAAGAGATGCTGAGCATGGTCTTCCCTTTTGGTTTTCTAGTTCTAGGTCTTTGCATAGTTCATTTTAACATTTGACTTTGTCTTCTTGAGCTACCTTTAAAGTTTGCCATTCAACTCCTTGTCTTCATCATTTTTTCCAGTCTATGATTAAGAGCAAGTTTCAGGGTCTCTTCTGACATCCATTTTGATCCTCTCTTTTTAAATGAAATTTTGCTTTTTTCATGATTGCTGTTCTTGATGTCTTCCCACAGCTCATCAGGTCTCTGTCATCACTGTTCCACGCAGCAAATCTGTTCTTGAGATGCTCTCACAATTCAGGGGGAAGAGACTCAAAGTTCTGTTTTGGCTCTTGTGGACTGGTTTTCATTTGCTTCAGTTCAGCTCGATGTTAGCAGCTAACCCAGGCTAGGGGCTGATCATGGAACACACCATCAATTGCTCATATGTAAGTTCAGCACAAAGCTGAAGAGTTAGTTATGAGAGAAATGCAAATCAAAACCACAATGAGATACCAATTCATTCCCCACTAGATTGGCTAATGGAACGATGGTGTCACAGGGGCAAGGTCGGCAGGTTAAACCCACCAACTTCTCGGCAGGAGAAAGATAAGGTTTTCTGCTTCCATAAAGATTTATAGTCTTAAAAAGCCACCCACAGGGCAGTTCAATTTATTACAGTCATTTTGAGTCTGAATCAACTCGATGGCAGTGAGTATAGTTTGGGGTTCAGGGTGGCTAAGATTATATATTTAGATTTATGTAATTTGGTCCCAGGTGTAAGTTTATATAATCACCACCATAAGCCAGATACCACACAGTTCTGTCACCATACAGATCCTCACTGTTGCCACTGCCCATTTGTACTTGTCTCCCAACTTTAGCTCAATAAATCAATACTGTGAATAAAAATATTTTAATATTTATTGACTGATTGATGTTTTCTTCTGTGAACTAGCAAGTCTTTACTTTTTTAACAGGTTTATTGGCACTCCTTCCACATATCATACAATTCAATGATTCAACCTATCAAGAAAATTGTATGATCATTACCACAATCAATTTTAGAACCTTTTCTTCTTCCTTGTATTCACTGTTATTCTTGTAATTTTATTTTTTATTTGTGGCAAAAATTTGCAGAACAAAACATTCTGCAACTCAACAACTTCTGCATGTATAATTCAGTGACACTGATTACATGATTTAGGTTGTATTACCATTATTGACATCCTTTTCTAAACTGTTCCACCACCATTAACGTAAACTCAATGCCTCCTGAGTAAAAACTATTCTTCCTTTACCCAAGATAAGCAGTGGGTCAAGTTTGGTTTCTTCTTGTTAAGGTTTTAATAGTTTTCTTGACAAAATATTCATATATCATACATTTACATAATTAAATCACTTTTTAAAAGAGTTGTGTATACATCACTACAATCAGCTTTTCTTTTCCACAGTTTTAATGGCAAGTAATTTACAAATCATAAAATTTAATAGTCCAATCATTCAATCATATCAAGAATTGTACAATCACCCCCAAATAACTGTTTTTAGAACATTCCCCCTCCTGCCGTTAAATCGCCTCCAAGATGAGTTACGCAATCACAATCCACTGTAGTGCTCCCTCCCCCTCCCCAGTTTTAATACTCCCTCCTTCCTCCCTCACTCATTGTTTGCACCCCAAATCCCCTCACCCCATGTCCCCATAAACCATTGCACCAGTTATTGTCTCTATGCATCTACTCCAGTGGTTCTCAACCTGTGGGTCATGACCCCTTTGGGGGTCAAACAATCCTTTTACAGGGTTGCCTGATTCATAACAGCTACAAAATTACAGTTATGAAGTAGCAACAAAAATAATTTTATGGTTGGGGGCCACCACCACATGAGGAACTGTATGAAAGGGTTGCAGCAGTAGGAAGGTTGAGCACCACTGATCTACTTCTTTGGTGCTTCACAAACTGGGAAACCCAACAGAAACAATAAAAAACAAAATGAAACCGCAAGAAGAAAATAATAATAATATGAAGATAAAAATAAAAAGTAAGAAAGAAATATTTTAGAAGCCAGAGAAGAGATTTATCATGGAACAGGTAAGAAATATTTGAGCCTACAGCAAATTCAGGTCAGTTGAAGAGGGAGGTCAAATGACCAGAAATCTGTTATACACGGTTTGATCCACCATAGTCATGTTGTCAATAACCTCTGTCTGACAGTACAGCTGTTTGAGTCCCTCTTCTGTCGCTAAAGGGGATCAGCCAGAGGCTTAAGCTGGCAAGTCTTTTAAAAATGTTTTACATTAATCTCTTGTTGTACATACTCCAAATTCTTTTTCCCAACTTTGTTTACACCATTTTTGCTATGCTTTTGACTTTTATATAGCTAAACTTCTTTCCATATTTTATTCCAATACTTCTACGTTTTTGTTTTGTTTTTAACATTAAAATCTTTCATTTCTTCTAGTGCAGGGAGGCGCTGTGCCATTACCTAGCTATGCCACTTTGGATCCATCATTAGCCTGCAGAACCCGCCTTTTCTAGTCACCAGAATTCTTCTGAGAAACAAATGAAAATATAAGAATGAAAAGAATGTTCCAAAATTGCTCAACGGATATCTATCAATCCTTAAGTGCCATTAATTAGAGAATTCTCACCGTCAACCTCCACAAGTAAGAGGCTTTCCCTTCCCCAAATTCTGAGTCCCAGGAGGTCAAGTGACTGGCCTCGCGTCACAGATGGAGGCTAGCGAAGGGCGGGCACCAAACGCGAACCACGCAGCCTTTTCGTCAAGCAAAGCAGCAGCATTCCCTGCGCTAAGCTCGCTCTAGGGACCTGTCGTCCCTTGTCTGTATTCATATCTATGCACAACAGGACGACTGCCAGGAAAATGAAGAGCCTATAATTAGGAAGCAGGGAGGTGACAGCAAAGAATGTACACAGAGAAGTAGAATGGGAGGTCTGCATTTCAAGTCATAGGCTCCCACCTTGTTTCCGACAGCCTGGGATTTTGATAAAGGCTCCATAGTCTGTCACCATAGCAACCTATAAAGAAAAAAATCGATATGTCACACAAATGAGAAGCTCTCTTCCGTGGCACTTAACCTAGTCTCTTCAAATTTCCACCCAGTACTGACTGAATCTGTTTGCTACAAAACTGCCTAAAACTGATCATCTGTCAAACATTCCTTCTATTCTTTATGAAATTTAGATGGACAGGTATGATTGTATACATTAAAAACAATGGTGAGAAAAGGTTGGTCAAATGGAATGCTGGTACCTAAGAAGTCCCAGATCCCACTCCTATTAAAATTCCAAAAGAAAGAAAATGAACAAAGGAAGCAAACAAAAGACAATCAAATAAAAATATTGTACTTTAGATTAGCTGGAGCTGGGGCTTCAAATCCCAATACAGAAAATTTTAATAAATTGGGATAAAACTTCATTTTTCCTAAATTTGAGATCAAATCAGACTACATAACCTGTTCTATTTGACTCCAAGACTCCTAGACTTTACCAAGACAATTAAAAAGTACATACACAGACATTTGATGGACATGAAAAGTTCAGTTTTAGCTTTTTGGCAGAGCTAATCTTCTAAGATGAAGACTTTAAAAATTAAATGGTCCTACATAACAGGTAACCAATAAATATTAGTATTGAAAGGCCCAAGAGCCCCAAACATCTGTAACTCAGGACTTCTCTTTCCCCCTACATTCTCAAGCCTACCTTTAGTCTATCCACCTGAATACTGAGAACATCGCAAGAACAGATCTGCTGCTCTGAACACTAATGATAAGACCTGATGAGCTGTGGAAAGACATCAAGAACATCATTTGTGATCATTAAAGATACAAGAAAGAATCAAAATGGATGTCAGAGGAGATTCTGAAACTCACTCATAATCATAGAGTAGCTAAAGCAAATGGAAGAAATGATGAAATCAAAGAGTTGAATGGAAAATTTCAAAGGGTAGCTCGAGAAGACAAAGTCAAATAGTAAAATGAAACGTGCAAAGACCTAGGATTAGAAAACCAAAGAGGAAGAATATGCTCAGCACATCTTAAACTGAAAGAACTCAAGAAAAACAATCCAAGTCTCAAGTTGCAAACTTGAAGAATTCTACGGGCAAAATATTGAACGATGCAGGAGGCACCACAAGATGATGGAAAGAATACACAGAGTCACTGTACCAGAACGAAAGAGTCCACATTGCACCATTTCAGGAGGTAGCATACGAGCAAGAACCAGTGGTGCTGAAGGAAGTTGTTCAAGCTGCACTAAAAGCATTAGTCAAAAACAAGGCTCCAGGAACTGATGGGATACCAACTGAAATGTTTCATCAAGCCGATGGAGCACTGGAAGTACTTGTCTATGCCAGGAAAATTAGAAGGCAGCTACTTGGCCAAATAACTGGAAGAGATCCAGATTTGTACCCATTTTAAAGAAAGGTGGTCCAACAGAAAGCTCAACTTATAGAACCAATTATTAATATCACATGGCAATAAAATGTTGCTGAAGATCATCCAACAATGGTTGAAGCAGTCCAATGACAGGGGGCTGCCAGAGGTTCAGGCCGGATTCAAAGAGGATACGTAACAAGGGATCTCATTGCTTTTATCAGATGGATCTTGGTTGAAAGCAGAGAATATCTGAAAGATGCTTACTTGTGTTTTATTGACTACACCAAGGCATTTGAGTGTGTGGATCATAACAAACCTTGAGGTGAATGGGAATTCCGGAACATCTGATTGTGCTCCTGTGGAACTTGTACATGGATCAAGAGGCAACTCCACAAACAGAACAAGGGAATACTGCATGGTTTAAGATTGGGAAAGGTGTGTGCCAGGGTGGTATCCTCTCACCATACTTATTCAATCTGTGTACTGAGCAAATCATCAGAGAAGCTGACTTATATGAATGGGAATGTGACATCAGGAGTGGAAAAAGGCTTATTAACAGCCTG